CAAATAACTAAAGTAGCTGCTATCACACCAAATTCTTATCTTACAAGAATAGGAACCCAAAAAACTCTTGTGGTGTAGCGCTATATTTAAATAGAAGGGTAGTGATAAAAACTAGGTATATATCAATACTACCTTGAAATTCCTTATGTCTTTATATTCACATAAGAGTATAAATTCTACAAGACATAAAAAACAGACAAACCAAACATAGTGCAAACTGTATAATAAAGTCTGTTATAGAGAATTAGGAAGGGAAAATTTCCCACTCACAATTTTAGGAGCTAATATGAAATAGCTCAATATCTGTGCTCTTGGGGTCCGTAAAGGCGACCCTCACCCTTCTTGTGTATAGATCTCCTTGATTTCCTATAGAAGTAGAAACCGTATATGGTGCAGTATCGTAATAATTATCAATGTGAGATAAATATAAAATGTAATACTCACAAAATTAGAGCCATCCAGATCGGCTCTAATCCACACACTTGTGTAGTTGAGGACTACACACCTTCTTTGTGAAAAATGAATAAAAAGTAGCAGGGAAATGCCAATATATAGTATAAAAGATAAATAATTTTATTATAACGGTAATTGTATAAAAATATATATATATATATATATAAAAAAACAATAAAAAACAATATCAAATTGGCATAAAATCCAAAAGTCCAAAGTCTCACAGTCTCTCCAGTACGCGTTTCGCCCTACAGGCTTCCTCAGCTGGATGTGGTGATTCACCACATCCAGCTGAGGAAGCCTGTAGGGCGAAACGCGTACTGGAGAGACTGTGAGACTTTGGACTTTTGGATTTTATGCCAATTTGATATTGTTTTTTATTGTTTTTTATATATATATATATATATATTTTTATACAATTACCGTTATAATAAAATTATTTATCTTTTATACTATATATTGGCATTTCCCTGCTACTTTTTATTCATTTTTCACAAAGAAGGTGTGTAGTCCTCAACTACACAAGTGTGTGGATTAAGCCGATCTGGATGGCTCTAATTTTGTGAGTATTACATTTTATATTTATCTCACATTGATAATTATTACGATACTGCACCATATACGGTTTCTACTTCTATAGGAAATCAAGGAGATCTATACACAAGAAGGGTGAGGGTCGCCTTTACGGACCCCAAGAGCACAGATATTGAGCTATTTCATATTAGCTCCTAAAATTGTGAGTGGGAAATTTTCCCTTCCTAATTCTCTATAACAGACTTTATTATACAGTTTGCACTATGTTTGGTTTGTCTGTTTTTTATGTCTTGTAGAATTTATACTCTTATGTGAATATAAAGACATAAGGAATTTCAAGGTAGTATTGATATATACCTAGTTTTTATCACTACCCTTCTATTTATTAATATTAGAATGCATAATGAATGTGTACTCACAAAGCTCACTGCCAACTTTAAAAAAAAAAAAAGGTACCATATATTTCCTTTGAAAACACTATGTCAGAGCGAGAGAGAGCATGTGTGTGTGTTTTAGTGTTATTTGGTGCCACATTCCCATCTCATTTCACTCCTCTGTGGAGGGAAAGAGCCAGTAAAGCAGAAAAGATATTCTCCCCATTCACTCTCACTGTGCAAGGTTCTCACTATTGAGTGGGCTCAGATATGATAGAAGAGCCCTCCTGTGTTCAAGAGTGTTATCTAATTAAATTAAATTTTAATAACTTAAACCCTCCCTAAATAATTACTAGAGGATTTAAACAGGGGCATTGCTATGTTCTATCTAGAAAAACCTGAGGCTTCAGCGCAAGAGAAACCTTGTTCCACTTGAGACAGGTGGAGATATGGCAGGACTTGCCTCTCTTTGTTAAGTCCCCTCCTCTTTACTTGTTAACAATATCCTGCTGATCTTCTCTACAATCTAGAATGAACGCATACTTTCAAAGAGCATTTGCTGTATAACTAATAGAGGTGTGTGCAGCAAAATGATGTTCTCCAGCATCTTTTACTGACTCCATTTCTCCCCAAATTTGACGGGACCGACCTGATTTACGTTCTACCTTAGTTCCCTGCTATCCTGCAATTGGGGACAAATTGCAATCTAGGGATTTTTGACAATTTGGTGTTTCTTTAATTAAGGTATCAACATTGTTAGCTACCCCCCAAACAGAGACATTGAATCAGCTCAATATAGGGATTAGGCACACTGAAATAAAAGGCGCTATGGTGCCTAGTGTCATGGTCGACTCTAGGAGGATATGGAATCACATTAAACACCCTCAAAATTATCTAGGGTCGAAATGCCCTTTCTTCAACCACTAGTATTAGGGGTTCTGTAAACAGTTTCAAATGTTTAGAAAAGAACCTCATAGTTTAAATACTTTGTAACTTTCCTTTCATAATACATACATTTAAAATAAAAACATGTGCCAAGTGAACTCTTTCTAAAAGTTTTATTGATCTGAAATTGATGCAGTCAGGAACCAATTTTGAGTCTAAATGACTGCACTGTACTTCTGCTCATTGAAAGCACCATTTATGTATTGACTGAACTTAACTGAGTGCATTACATCATGTTTTGATACACATATATCAATAAAACGAGACACAAAGTTCACTACCAGTTCAACAGAGCTGTTCAAAGGCTTTACAAACATCAGAGAAAGACCGATAAATTAATAATTTCTGGGACTTGGTCAAATTCACAGATTAAGTCACACAGGGACCTTAAAATCAGTATAATTAAAGAGTTAACATGGTAAAGTGGGTAGATGGCTGGCTAAGTTACACAGAGAGCTTAGTTAAGGGGAGCTAAAGAGTTAATATAGTAGGCAAGGCAAATGGTGGCAGTTACTTCATACAAAAATATATATGACAATAATTAGTAACAACGCATTCCACTAGGGGGCAGTGTTTCACCAAAGGGATCTCCAAGAAGGGATCAGTCTTGGGTCATCATCTGCATATAGGAGTGATGCAGCTAGTGCGCACCACAATGGTAAAAAGCAAATCACCCACCTACAACAGGAGGTATACATGTTCCAAAGGCAACACACCATCCTCGAGCAGCGGTTCGCAACAATGGAGGATTGCAGAGTACTGCAAGATTAGAGGGGTAGTGGAAGCGGTCCCCAATGCGGAACTACCGCACTTTATCAGATGCCTCCTAAGTGCAATTCTATCGCCCTGACAGGTGAAATTGGTGGCAATCGAGGGTATGTTTTGTATCCCTAGACCAGGGCCAGATTAAGAGCCCAGTGGGCCTGGGGCTGACAATTATGAGGTGCCTAAGTACAGAATCTTATCGACCAAAAACACTAAAACAGTGATACCTCTCAAGTGTTATGTATCTGGTAGAGATATTGCCACTATATATGATGCAGCTATAAAAACTCAGATTCTCTTAAAATATGCTAATTTCTCTCTAATTCATGCTTTAATCTTTCAAGTAAATCTATACCCCCTAACAGCAGTGTCCAGTGAAGCAGGAAGTCAATGGGCGGTGTAAAAGGGTGGGCCACTGACGCGGATCATGTAACCAGAACTTCCAAAATGGACGAACATGCCCAAAAAAGAGGCGTTTCTGCCTAAAGAATTGGAAGGCTAGCCTGGCATGAATGCATGTGAGGCTGTCTGCCAATCATGCATGCTGGCCAACAGCATCCTGAGCTTGGCATAAATGCATCTAATGATGCGCTCGCTCCATGCTTTCTAAGGACTGTCCCCTAGCACTCACATGTCCACTTGTCTCCTTACCTTCTTACTAGCAGGCTGAAGCTCCTGGGATACAGTCTGAGACAGAGAAAAGGTGGATGTAGTGAGTGTAGAAGAAATGAAACATGCCACAGTGTTAGAGAGACCAAAGTCAGCATTACCTTAACTTATTTCATTTCAGCTAGTCCACACAAGTTTTGTTTCCATATATTCCTCTTAAGTTTTCATACTTAAAGGACCACTATAGTGCCAGGAAAATATACTACTGTGCATACTTGTTTTCCTGGCACTATAGTGCCCTGAGGGTGCCCCCACCCTCAGGGTCCCCCTCCCGCCAGGCTCTGGGGGGAGGAAGGGGTTAAACTTACCTCTTTCTCCAGCGCCGGGCAGGGAGCTCTCCTCCTTCTCTCCTCCTCCTCTTTGGCTGAATGCGCATGCGCGGCAGGAGCTGCGCGCGCATTCAGCCAGTCCATAGGAAAGCATTCACAATGCTTTCCTATGGACGCTGGCATCTTCTCACTGTGAAAATCACCGTGAGAAGCAAGGAAGCCTTCTAGCGGCTGTCAATAAGACAGCTACTAGAGGCTGGATTAACCCATTTATAAACATAGCAGTTTCTCTGAAACTGCTATGTTTATAGAAAAAAGGGTTAACCCTAGCTGGACCTGGCACCCAGACCACTTCATTAAGCTGAAGTGGTCTGGGTGCCTTTAAGCAAGAGTATGCGAAGAGTAGTTAGGGTCGCCACCTTTCTTAAAATACAGGCCTTACTAATTTGCATAACTAATTATGTATGCGTGACACACATTATGTAAATCACAAGCAGTGACAGAGAAAATTCTGTGAAATCACCAAAAAACTACTTACAGTTTGATTCTGCTGTATAGATGGATTGCTCCCAATGTCCCCGTCAACCAGTGTCCGCATGTTGCCCAGTGTCCCCTAGTGTCTGTGTCCCTATGTCTCCCAGTGTCCCCATGTCACTAGGGGATGCTGTGAGACATGGGGACACTAAGACACTTGGGGACACTGGGGGACACTGAGACTATGTATCACAGTGCCCCAATGTATCACAATGTCTCGGTGCCCCATGTCTCCCAGTGTCCCCATGTCTCTGTCCCCATGTTGTTCAGTGTCCCCATTTTGCCCACTGTCCCCTAGTGTCTGTGTCCCCATGTCTCCCAGTGTCCCCATGTCATTAGGGGACACTGAGAGACATGGGGACACTGACACACTTGGGGACGCTGAGACACTATGGACACTGGGAGATATGGGGACACTGAGACACTAGGGACACTGGGTGACATGGGCACACTGACACTGGGAGACATGGGAACTCTGAGACACTGGGAGACATGGGGACACTGAGACACCAGGGACACTGGCTGGGAGACATTATGTCCCTAGTGTCTCAGTGTCCCTATGTCTCCAAGTGTCTCCGTGTCCCCATGTCTCAGTGTCCCCAAGTGTCCCCATATATGTCTTTGTCCCTATGTGTGTCTGTCTCTCCAAGTGTCCCCAAGTGTCTCAGCATCCCCAGAGGTCTCGCTGTGTCACCATGTCCCACTGTTTCCCATAGTGTTTCAGTGTCCCCATGTCTCCCTGCAGCCTTTGCCCCATCCCTCACTTCCCTGATGAAGGCCCTGCATTCTGGGAGCTGCTGTCTGGACTCTCAGTGCTGTGTAGCTGCTCCCCCACAGATCAGTGAGTAGAGAGATGCAGGTATATGCTGTAACTTCCTATCCCTGCCTTTCTCCACACACACAGCGACCCCTACTGGTCAGTGATGGTATTGCAGAATAATCTCTATTTATACTGAGAAAAGTACCGGCATTTCCATTGCCAGTATTGCTGCAATATCAGCACTAGCCAGGAAGCCTCAAATAAATACTGGCCAGGTGGCAACCCTAAGAGTAGTGTGTAAAAAAATATAAAAAAAGGTTCAAAACCCCACTTTTTTTTCTTCTTTTTTTTTTAAATCAATGGGCTTATTACATGGGCCTGGGCGTGGGCCTGGGCCTGGGCCTGGAGCTGCAGTTCCATCAGCCCCTATGTTAATAAGGCCCTGCCCTAGACCAGCTAAAGCCCCTGTCACAGCTCCAAGGGACTTGATTGTGCGGTTCCAAACTGGAAAGGACAAGGCAGCGGTTATGGGCGCTCTCAGTGGAAAACCTCTCTATAGCTTTGGTAACTCACCTCTTACTTTCTATGCATATTTATCAGGAACCCTTCACATCGCTCGCCCGTGCGCACTACATCACTTACAGATGGAAAATGTCCCACTCGCTGGTGGTCCTACAAGGTGGTGTCTCCTAACCTGTCCAGGAACTCAAGGGGGCAGGAGCAATTCTGGGGACTCTGGGTCTCCCACAAGACTTTCTCTAATAGGATGACAACAATAACGACCAAATCACACACCTGGGACACGGCTACCACAGTCCCAGTTGTTCCCCGAAGACCCTTTGTGGACAACTAGCCATAATCACCACATGAACTCCCACTGCTGGTCTACTGGGATAGACCTCTGCAGCACTCTGCATATTGCTTGCTTGCTATTCAGCTTTTGTTTCCGCTTTATTAAATGTTGTCTACTATCTCAGACTTCTTTTCTGCTCCTTTACACACTGATGAATCCCATATATCAGGCTCCCCCAGGCGGTCACCTAAGCCAGGCCCTGGCTACAGGCTGAGCGAAAGTGTCTCACCCATCATTTCCCACTAATGACCCGTTCTATACAACAAGAAGCACCTAGTCCACTCTTGCCAACGAACCTTACCGGGGTCCACGGATCCCCCAGTACCCTCACTGTCTATCCCCTACCACTACCTCATCCTAATATCCCAACAGGCCCTTATCTCACCTGACCACCGCCCATTCCCCCATGACCGAGGGTAATCGCACCACCACAAAGAACAAAACTATTACTGGAGTCTTACACCCTAATCTGTGGCCCATTATCTAGCACACAACTCCTTTACTTACCAGGAACCCTAACGTAGCCTCTCTTGTTTAAAAATGTTTTCTATATAGAATTCTTCTCACGAATGCTCAAAGAAAATGTGCCGCTGTATACCTGCATTTACTGTATGTGATGTACATATTCTTTGACATTTACTTAGTGCATATGACGCAATCTCTGTTATTACTGTGCACAACCAAAATAAAGAATTATAAAAAAAATTTAAAAAGAAGAACACTCATTTATTTTAATACTAGAACCCTAACGTAGCCTCTCTTGTTTAAAAATGTTTTCTATATAGAATTCTTCTCACGAATGCTCAAAGAAAATGTGCCGCTGTATACCTGCATTTACTGTATGTGATGTACATATTCTTTGACATTTACTTAGTGCATATGACGCAATCTCTGTTATTACTGTGCACAACCAAAATAAAGAATTATAAAAAAAATTTAAAAAGAAGAACACTCATTTATTTTAATACTAGAACCCTTTTTACAAGCAATCAAAAAGAACTCCTCTATTCATGCTGCTACCTATGAATTTAAAAAGTTTCTCCAAGCACCATGAGCACTTCAGAGACTGTATGTGCAGTATTTTGCTCTGAAACACCTCGAGTGTAATTATCATTCCTGTCTGACGCCAGCACACATGGCATGTTGGTGCCAGACAGCCAATGGTGGCAAGCAATCCCCGCAAACCTCCCCTCAGTCTGTCCTTCCTGACATTCATCCCCTTCTGCTGAAGGGGAGTGATGTCAGCCAAGGAGGATCGAGTCGAGGGAATAACTTTATAATGGACTTTGCGATGGAACAGTAAGTTTTAGCATTTCTTTTATTTTTTTATATTTGTGGAGGTGGACCACCTCAGAAAGGGTTACTCTAACTAACACCTGTATTTGATGAGAAGCACTGTTAAAGTCTCCTTTTGTGGATAACTTCCTATTTACTATTTCTAATTTGGCCACCTCTCTACCACTCAGTATGGTTCCTTGTCAAATTTTTAAATTAATTGGGACAAAAATCTTGCTCTAAGTACCACAGATCAGTGTTTATTTTTCCGATGGACTTCCTATTTTATAAAATACCTGAGATTTTACATTATGTTTTCCTATAAAGATTTATATAAAATCAAATTTAATTAACTGACTGGGGTCAATAGCTACAAACTATTAAGAAATGTCACCTTCCCAACTGTTGGTGGCTAGGAAGAGTAAATATAATCACTATCAATGTAGTTCCCCCAAATCATGTATTTTCATACACTTATACTTTGCCCATGCTTTTATGCATCCAGTTTTTGTTTGCCTCTGTGCAATCCTTTTTTCCATTTTGTTTTGCAAGGAAATAAACCTCATGTAGCCTACTCTTTTATCCAGACCAAAAAGCCTTGGGGATGTGGGCTAATATATGACTGGACTCAATGTCTGTGGCAGAACCACTGCCTATTCGTGGAGTTCCTTCCTTATTGCGTGTGTTCCCCTGTAATTCCAGTATACTGTGCCCCACTCCCCATTCGGGAGAGCTCCCACAAAAGAAACTAATTCGTCTACCGAACTGGGACCACCCCCGTATCCCATTTAAAATGCGGGTTAGAACGTTCAATAAGAGCGTTCTCACCTCGCTCATTGGTATGAACCCGCAAGGTAAACAATTAATGAGGGCTCCCCTGGGTGGCCGCTACAGTACAGATGAACACCAGCCAGGGGAAGCATTCAAGGCCCTCCCAGTGCCCCATTAGAACGTTCCCACCAATTCATCAGAATGTTCGCACTTGCAACATAAGTGTGAAACCGCAGTGTTCGCACTGGTAACATAGTGTGAAACCACAAGAGAAGTAATTAATGAGTGCTCCCCTGGGTGGCTGCCCTTAGACGAACTCCAACCAAGGGGAGCATTTGTACCTCGAAAGGAGACACTTCCCTTGCAGGTTTCAGCATCATCGGAGCCTTGCGAATGGAGAGTGGTCAGGCACCTGAGATTGGTGGGGACAATTTTGGGGCACTGGCTACTTTGGCTTGCTTTTCTGTGCCTGGAGAAAAAGGAACAGTTCCTTTTCCTGCACCTCGGCTCCCAGACACAGAGGATCCTGGGATGAAGACCCCCTGTCCGATGTGGTGGGAGACCCCTTGTATGTGCGGTGGACTTTCTGTACCTGGGAGAACAAGGGACAATGACCCCCCTTCCCACGCTTTGGTTCCCAGTCTCAGAAGCTCCTGGGATATGACCCCTGTTGGTTTGAGAGGAAAAACCCTTGCACGGGGACATGCATAAAAGCCAAGTGTGGCTCAATAAAATTGTGTTGTACCTCTAGGACTGTGTGTCATCCAGTTACTGGGGGGAAATAGGTCTAGTTATACTCTAAAGTGGTTCCTGTGCGGCTGAAGGAAGGTAATAGCGAAGGTAACTGATACAGTCCACCTCATAAGTTATGGATATCCTGTATGAATTCCTATAAAACAAACACATAACAAAATACCAGCAATAGCAATGCCATTGTATTTAGCCACCTCCTTGCAAGTGCTATACTGGTCTGGAATAGGAATGCCCATTTCCCTGCCCCTAAATCCCCTCCCCCACTCCTCCTTATCATATCACTCATAATCCTCTATTTCCTTTTCACTAGTTGGCTTCTTATTCATTCATTCCCATGACTTTAAACATTTATACTGCCTGCCTATATGGTACATTTTTCAAGAATGGTTCATATAGGCAGGTAGTGTAAATGTTTAAAGTGACTCTGGGGCTATTCTGTTCTATTTTTTTTCCCAATTACTTTGTCAAAGTAGAAATATTCATTTTTGTTCCATCTACTAGCAAAAGAAGTTATTAGCAGTCACTGGAAATCTCCAGCTACTACTTCTAGGGGTGACTGGAATTAAACATTGAGCATTATCATTCATTGATCTTCACTTGGTCCATACCATAGATATGCAAACATATGGCAACAGATTGCCTACATTCATCAAGCTAACTTGGGGCAGCCCTACCAGATCATCCACATTATGGCAAGGGGATGGGTGGGGTAAGGGATCTCCCCCTGACTGGGATTGTTTTCAAGAATGACAGGGTGACAAACACAGCTGTACACTTACCACTTTTTTCACCTTTTTTAGTGTAGTGAAAACCATTCTTCCTGTGCTGTACTTCTCAAGGGTTTATTATCTTTATGTTTCTTTGAATTAATATTTTTTTCTGTGTACTTTTTTCATATATGTATATCAATTAAGTGCTACTCCGCTAACTAAGTGCCTATCGTAGTTTGAATGACAATGTGTTAAACAGGAGATATTATTGCTTCTACCAGTATATTTGCCCTCTGGGTCTTCCTCCTAGTCTATTTTGATCTGTTAAATGATGATTCTGTGTATTTTGTTATTTTTTTGGGATGGGGGAATATATATATATATATATATATATATATATATATATATAAAATATAATAAAGTGGCACTCATATAAAATATATATATTAAAATAGCACAATGCAACACTAATGCC